TACTATGAAAATAAAACACAAACTTGCCATAAACACAGACTATACACCACAGGAACCTACGGATGTGTCACCATTATACTTCAGGCAGATAAAACTAGTAGGTGAAATCTTTTTCTCTCTTCAACACTCTGCTGTGTTCTTCTATCAGTAAGAAGAGTAAGGTACATTACTTTTGAAATAAACTCAATTTCATCTAATAAGGAAAAAAAATTCATTCAGGATTATACATTCACCAAGTCTGAAACCAAGACTTGTTTGTTTTAAAAACAAAGCTTTTTTTTTGGTAAATGAGTGCAAAATTTAAATAACTTGATTGCTCTCTTAGTTGAAAAAACAATTTCCCCAAGCTTAAGTAATTCAGCTAAACATGGCTTTTCTCCAAAGTATAGAAAAGCACCAACACAACCTTTGATTAACATCACTGTAAGGGGTAGGATTTTATGTCTGAGAAAAAAAATTAGTATGCCTGCAGTCAAGAAATTAACCGCAAGGGGATAATTAGCCAGACTGCTTCTTTCTTACTGATTGACTGAATTGCGGAGGGAGGCAGAGAGTGAAAATTTTGCTTATCCATGCATTTATTTTCTACAAGACAATCTATCTAACGGCTTTTAACATCTGGGTTGCCCTTTCTGCTTGGAGAGATTAAGACAGCAGAAAGCCATCAATCAAGAAGCTAAACCTTCTATAAAGCCTACTCCCATGTATCCTGTTCCCAGATGACGGCTTCCACAGAAAAGCAGAACAACTTTAACTATATTAAACATAATGGGCTCCTGGCTACCCAGAATGTAACATATAAAAGACATGATTTGGTTAAATTATACAGATTTGTAAAAGTCAGAGGCAGGTGAGAGAAATAAAAAGTGAAATGTGGCTATATTCCCTTTTCATCTTGCTTGAGAGGTGTCTTCACTGGAGAGCAAGTCCCAATCACATCACTATCCTAAGGGTCTAAATGAAGACACCCCAAAGGAGATAACTATCTTGGAGCTGCCCTGGAGAGAGGGTCCAGGTCTCAGCAGCCATAAGAGGTGAACCCAAAACAGACAGAAAAATAAAGGGGGGGGGAGAAAGAATCAATTGCTTCCTGCAATCCCCCCCAGTGGAAGTAGATTCCAGAGTAAGAGTTTTTAGGGTGTCTGTGGGCAGAAACAGGAAACCTGACCCTTCAGACAAACTTACACCACCTTCCATGACAGACACCTACCTCCTCTTTGGCTTTCCCTTCTCTGCCAGTCAGTCACATTCTGGATGGCGGTGGGAGCTGAAATTATTCTGTGAGGCAGATTATGTTCAGTAACAAGCTTTTTGGCTCAGTAAAAGGATAAGAAAACTAGGTAAAATATATGATCAAATGAAAAAGCACACTTATTTAAAGTGGAGAATTTCTAAGGAGATCTAAACCAGACAGGTGGGAACTCTTGGTTCTGCCCACTCTTCTTGGTGTGAAGGATGGACTTTTGAGACAAAGCAAGGAGACAGATTTTTACAAATGGCTCAGCCCCTTGACTGAGAGCTATAGACTGCCTTTTCCCTGCCAATAGGCAGGGGCAATCAATATATTACAGGTTACCAAACATTCTCAGAGAAGTCCAGGAAACACTTCAGACCGCAAAGCGCCAGGCACTTTATGTTATGAGGGAGAAGTGTGAGGGGTTATAGAAAGGGAACAAAAGGCATCCTGGATAGAAGGGGACTTGAAGCTTCAGTCACTTGCATCAACCGGCTAAAGGCCATCACTAGAAAGCACTTAAACTGGCCTACACAGTCATAACAAAGGAATGCTTCTCCAGAGATCTGGAGACTATTTACCTATTCCCAGTGCATGGTAAATATTACCAGGATGGAGGCAGCTCCTAAAAATATTTACCTTCTTACATTATATTTTCATGGTAGACTTATCTATACTTAAATTAGCCTACGTCAAGTAAGAACTGCAAATTAGCATTTGAGTTGCACAGAATGACTGTATTAACTACAGAGTGATTCCATTTAGTCTGCAGCATAGTGTGATTGTATTAGAGCTAATGACTTGTGTTACACCCCCTGGTGAATCAGTCAACTCAAGTTAAAAACTACCAACACACTGAAGTTATGAGGCTTTAATGTGTGGATGGGATTTGAGTTAACAGTGCAGTAAAGACAAACCCTTAGATGGTGGCTGGTCACACCTGGGTTAGATCAACTGAAGTGCTCACACCCAAGTGCAGATCACCCGAGTTAACTCTGCAGTGAAGACATACCAAATGGGTGTTGCTGTAATATAACCAAAGTTCATATAGTAAAATAGTGCATGACCAGACAAGAGAGGAAAAATAACTTAGAAATCTGTATCAAGACATCCCCCGACAATAGCTTGACCCAGCACCTCTAAAGTCAATGCAAGGTTTGTCATTGGTAGCAGGACTGGCCCTACTTTAGGCCCCAAACCTGCACCAGATGGAAGTCTCCTGCACAGAGCCTCACTAAAGTCAACAGGGCTCTGCACAAGAGCTGGGGTCCACTCATGAGGAATTCACAATGCAGCCTCAGGTTTTCCTTGGTTTTTAGTTATTCTGAATGATTTTCTATTCACTTCACAGCACCACAAAAATTTCAGTATGTCACAGGTTTTAGCAGTCGGCATGCTGCAGAAACTATGGACCTTTCTGCAAAATTTAAATCCAGAATGCCATGGAAAACACTGGATGTCCTGGTTATGAGTAACTGGAAATTCTTATGCTGCCTAGTTTTAAGTCAAAATCTTTATTGCATGCAAAATAAATTCTAAGGACAAAAATACAACACTGAAAATAAACAGAGACATATGTGATACAAATCTATACAGTAATAACTAGAAACTTGTAAAAGAAAGCTCAGGTGGTTGGGACATGTACACTGTATGGAAGATGGGAGACATGTTAAGTAAGCTTTGAACTGGATACCTGAGAAAGAACAGAGAAAACGAGCAAGGCTAAGGAGGAACTAGCAGAAGACAGTGACAGAGAATACTGAATGCGGTGGCATCACCTGGGAAGAAGTACCACAATTAGCAAGCAACAGCAATCAGTGAAGGAACTGGACTGCCCAATGTGTCAGCATCACAGGAGGAACTAAGGTCTAAGACATATGTGATATAAATCTACCCAATCTACCCAGTAGTAACTTGCATTTAGTGCATATTATGAGACACCCATAAAACTGTCTTTTAATTAAAAATTGTGTTTAGAAAGATAAACAGCTCTTTACATTCTTTCTTTCACACACACACACACACACACACACACACACACACACACACACACACACACACACACACACACACACCACTTTATCCAGGAGTTTAAGAATAGAATTCACACAGGAATTAAATCTCTGTGTGGGATATATCCAAAGGAGACAAAGAATATACAAATTAAGATAACACTGCATTTGTATCAGTCAAAAACTGGGCATAATACACTTTCTTACTCCAGTCTTTAATTCCACAGCCATGAAATGTGCTTACAGACTTGTAAGGAGTATTTGTCAGATAAAACGGTTTTTCTTAAATCCATTTCCATATCCATTCTATGTCTTAAAGCTTTTTACTTCCACACCCTTAAAATCCTATTCCAGTCCCTTTCCCAGTTACCATCTTGGCTGGTTGCAATTAAAATAAATAGTAATCCTTGGGTCATCAGGATCCACAGAATAGCAAGGTTCTCTCAATGGTATGCAGTGCGTTAAACAGTACATACACTGGAGTGGGAAGTTTGTCCAGTAGAGTACATCCCTTGTATCCTACAAGAGAGTGTTCTTGGGAACAAAGTATTTCTGTATTTCAGTAAGAGGTTTCTGAAATACAGTAGAACCGTGTTTTTCAAACTTTTTTTCTGGTGACCCAGTTGAAGAAAATTGTTAATGCCCACGACACAACGGAGCTGGGAATGAGGGGTTTCGGGTGTGGGAGGGGCTCAGGGCTGGGGCAGAGGGTTGGGGTGAGGGCTGCGGGGTGGGGCTGGGAATGAGTGGTTCAGGGTGTGGGAGGGGGCTCTGGGCTGGGTCAGGGGGTCAGGACTTTGGGCTGGGGGTGCAGGCTCTGGGGTGGGGCCAGCGATGAGGGGTTTGGGGTCCAGGAGGGGGCTCTGGGTTTGGGGGGGGGGGCTCAGGGCTGGGGCAGGGGATTGGAGCGCGGGGTTGGGGTGTGGGCTTACCTTGGGCAGCTCCCAGGCAGTGGCGCAGCTAAGGCAGGCTTCCTGCCTATCTTGGCACCGCGACCGCGCTGTGCCCTGGAAACAGCCAGCGGCAGGTCCAGCTCCTAGGTGGAGGCGCGTAAGTGGCTCCACGCAGCTCTCTCCCACGGTTACCGGGCCCCCCGGCTCCCATTGGCTGGTTCCCAGCCAATGGGAGTGCGGAGCTGGTGCTCAGGGCAGGGGCAGCACGCAGAGCCCCGTGGCCCCCCGCCTAGTAGCCGGATCTGCTGCTGGCCGCTTCCGGGGCACAGCACAGTGTCAAAACAGGTAGGAACTAGCCTGCCTTAGCTGGGCAGCACCGCCGACAGGACTTTTAATAGCCCGGTCGGCGGTGCGGACCAAAGCCGCTGTGACCCAATGCCTTCCATTCTGCGACCCAGTACTGGGTTGTGACCTGCAGTTTGAAAACCACTGCAGTAGAGGGTTCAAGTGTAACTGTGAGCAAAGATGTACAGGGTTACCATAACACAGCAACTTAACAGAACAGATTCTGATACACATTCTAGGTTTACTCTTAAACTTGCATGGCAGTCTGGGGCCAGATGTTAAGCAAATTGTTTCCACTAGATCACATGGAATGAAAGCCCAATTTTCAAAACACTGGACACAGAAGGAAAGAATAATCAGTCCTACATGCCAGCAACATCTCTGCTCATTTTTCTTGGAAGTCTAGCCTTTTTTTTTTTTTTTTTTTAAAACGTAAAGAAACAATAGAACATGAGCATGAAAGTGAAAATTGCTACTTTGTAATTAAATAGTAGTCAGACTTCATTTCATACTTACAAAAATGCAAAGCATCTGGGAGATACAGATGTGCAGAAGCCGTAACAAGTTTTAGGAAAACCAAAGAAAAAAGTGAAAGGTAGAATTACAAAAATGAGTAACAGGTACTAATGCAGAACACTAAAATAATTTCAACTAATTACTGGTTCAGAAAAGTGGTGTTGTTGTAGCCATGTTGGTCTTGGGATATTAGAGAGTTCAGGTGGGTGAGGTAATATTTTTTATTGGACCAACTTCGGTTGGTGAGAGAGACAAGCTTTTGAGCTACATAGAGTTCTTCTCCAAACTTGAAGAAGGGCTCTGTGTAGCTCAAAAGCCACCAACAGAAGTTGGTCCAATAAAAAAAATATTACCTCACCCACCCTGGTTCATGCACGCAACAGATATGGACAAATACTTCATCCCACTACTAAATATGGAAAAAAATCAAACTGGGAAAAATCAAGGGGCTCTCATTTGGATTACAGCTGCAGAGTTAGCAAACGAGGGATGTATCATGCTATGATAACATTTACATTGAATGTCAGCCAAAACAGACAGAAGCCAAAATGTTAAAAAATGGATGCCTAAGGTTAGGAGCCTGAAACCATGTTTAAGCTCCTAAATAAATGGCTTGATTTTCAAAAGTGCTGAGGACCCTGCAGCTCCCATTTACTTCACTGGGAACTGCTGGCTCCTCAGCACTTGAAAAATCAGACCACTTATTTAAAAAGCGTAACTTCATGCATGCATATTTGAAATTCTTGGTCAATGTTCCAATGACAGAGGGAGAATGGATGAAAACAGTCAACAACATGGGGAAGCAGTCAGCCCTTTCCTCCTATGGTCTTCTAGGCATGCTTAAATTTGGCACTGCAGATTCTAACAAGGATGCTTTGGACTATACTCCCCCTATGCTATTTGCCCAGCTCCTAAGGGCTATGTCACAACTTCCAGACCTACTTTGGGTACTCGTGGTTATGGTCTTGAAGCATGGTACTACAGGATGCAACACTTCTGAAAGCAGTTCTTTAAGAAATGACACTAGCATTGGAAATAACCTGCCTATGTGCACATAAGATATACAGGGTTGGAAATTTAAACATTTCTTGACAGGGCAGGTTGGCATAAAGATAAAATTCTAACTCATCTCTTTCTAAAGTCTATAGAACTTTCTCCCCATCCCAAGCTAAATGTTCCAAAATCTTTTTGTAACAAATAAGATACCTACATAAAGTAATATTTTGCATGTCTATCAAGATCTCAGTGTGAATGCAGTGCAGATTAGAAATGGGAATGGAGCTTTTCACCGGTAGATTACTTATTCAAAAATCCAGATCTGGTAGTGAGTCAGGGTTGCCACCATCTCACAGAAACTCAGTACCTTGTGTGATATGAGTCTCACTCCAGTTCCCAAAGGACAAGGGGAGCCTTTCCTCACAATTCACCCACAAACAACAGCCTTGCTGGCAGTCTCATCAGAAAAGCCACATAGTAACTGATTATGGAAAATTAACTATTTTCAATTCTCACCCTTCTAGGTGGCCCCTTCCTGGTCAGATCTGAGGCATGTTGGCAGGCAGTATGAGGAAATCTGCACTGCTGCTGCCCAAACTGTTCCTGTTCTGTGGAGAGACAGAGAACTTCAGTCTCATGGGCTGTCAGTCATCAGCTTTATAATAATTAAATTTGCAGGCAGAACTTTGTTAACCCAGAGTTAAGGTTCAGCAGAAACAACACTAACCTTTTTGAAAATGTTCTTAAAGGATTGTCACACTTTTAAAAGTAAAAAACAAAAACCCCTGAATTTTAGTAGCTCTGGAAACCAAAAATTAACATTGCACTTTAAAATTAACAATCTAAGAACTAGAGACATAAAAACCATCATTGTCCATCAAGCATACACAATTTCATTTAATCAGTAACATAACTAAGCACACTTTGTGCTAGAATACCTTACTCTCCGTTGTAGTGTATTAGAAGACATTAAAAAAAAAAAAAGTGCGAGAACCAGCCATCTCTCTAGTGACTACTCAACTAAGGCAGTCGTGAAGAGAACTTATTCCACCTGTGGTTAGGAAAAAAATCCAGGGATCCTGAAAAGTACTTTAGTTGAATGATCTTGGGTCTTGTTTACAGACTAGAAATACTCTACAACAGAAGAATAGTGTACTGTACTAAAAAGCCACTTCTAGCCAAGCCACTTCCATTTCCGAGCTTCAAAACTGAAAACATTGGAAATACACAGACTTGTGGGCTGTCTACACAGACCAGTTTAAGTAAAGGGCGTAATTTTAAACCATTGCAAAATCCTATGTAGATACTTGTTTTGAAGAATTTCATCTCAGTTTAGCTTAAGTTAATTCCTTTCTGACTTAAGATAAAAGGAAATAAAGCATTAATTAAATATAATTGTCTATACACGATTTTGCATTAGTTTCACTAAAGCTTTTTTTTTAAAAAATGATCTCAGTTAAACAAGTGCAACTTTCTCATGTAGACCAATTAATAGAATCAGTATTTTTTCATTTTTAATTTGAGTATGACATGATCTGTGAGATTGTTACAGTTCGAGGCTTGATCTCATAGTTGTTCTGTGTTGAGACTCCTGGACTTCAAATGGGAGTTTTGTATGGAAAAGGAAACAGGATAGAGAACTAACATAATGGCTCAAATACATTTCACTTGGGCTATCTTTTGGAGACAATAAATGTGATTTCACTATAAAGTATTGTCCCACATTAATTATTAATCTGATTATTGTTGCATCACATTAAGTTTAATAAACAAATAATGCTAATTTTAAAACTCCCAGACACACTCTTTGCCATTTTATTTTTCTACAGTTTCTTCCATTCCAAAATGCTCTTTAATTTAGTGATAGTTAAAACAATGGAAAACCACCGAACAAGGACTAGACTGCATGCAAGCCTGGGCAGTTGCAGGGACATGTGGGCAAAGGGGTTTCCCACTGGTCTGATAAACGCAGGGGCAAGGGATTGATTGGATCACAGGTGTGTGTCTGTGTGTGTGAGACAGAAGCACCAGAAACACCTCAGAATGAGACAGAGAAGGAAGTAAGGAAGCCCCAGAGGAGCACTTGCAGCACGTCCCTGAGAAAAAGCTAAGAGAGCTTTGGAGAAGAGTGCGATCTGGACAAAAGCTTGGAACTGGGAGCAAAGAAACTGTATCCTGTTTGATTTCTATTTTGTCCAGGAAAACAGTACTTTATTTTATTTGTAAATAAAACAGGATTGCATCAAAGAAATATCTGACTCCATCATCAATTTCTCGGCTTAACAGAAACAACCCACAAAAATTTTGTGACAAAACTCCAAATTTTGGCTGTTTGCATCAAAAGGAGTAACAGTATTATCTTCTACAAGGACCTCCATTTGAAAATATCAAATATGACTGCTTCAAAATACCCATTCATTATCTCCTAGCTCATAATTTTTACTAGCAGGAAGTTCTGTAAGATGAACAGAATTAGAAAAAAAGAAAACTAAATAATAGAGGAATGCAGTTTTGTTTCAAAATGTCTTGATTTACTTTTCTTTTTAATTTAGTAGTGCAGTATTTTGAGTGACGTTTTTAGGAGGAGATTCTTCACATCAAATTTTTGTACTTATTTTGCAATGGACAGAAAGCAAATGAAATCAAAACCTTTCTTCATAAAGTAGCTCAAATTACTAAATTAAAGTTTAACAATATTTCTATGGTGACTACCGTGAAACCTCATGGATAACTGTACAACTATTACTGTATGTATCCTAGGAGACCAAAGCGATCTCATGTTTAAAGACTTAATTCCCTACCCAACTCCCAATACAAATCACATGGATTTATAAATAAAACAAGTAGCCTTGACAAAGGAGAAAGTTGATGTTTTATTTTGGTCCAGAATGTATGTTAACCTCCACTTATGGCTTATTATAAGCATATAGTTTCCTATTGCATATTACCTTCCTTCCCTCCCCATGTCCCCCACTTTTTCCTGACTACAAAGGTGCTAGAAATCTCTTTTTGGCTTCCTAAATATTTTTATATTTATATTTGTGTGTGTGTGTGTGTGTGTGTGTGTGTGTGTGTGTGTGTATATACACACACACACAATTTTTTTTTTTTAAGAAACTTGGATTTTTCAAATCAGAGTGGCTAGAATTCTCTGATCTTAAAAATATATCTTGTGAAAATTACCAAAAAGGTCTCGTGTTCTTATCATCTAAATTCAGAGTACTGACCAGACTGTCCAGCAAGATTAACCTGTAAAATACAACATGCAGAACCTAATAATTTAGGAAGGCATCTTCAAAAATACATATTTTTAAAAAATGAAATTAAAGGGCATAAAACAGCTAATTTGAGACAGAGTAGATTTGTGTAGATTTTACATCTTGTCTGAATATTTGAAACATGCAGCATTTGAAAATATTTCCTGTAATTCTTGTTTGTCATGCACATCACTGGTTCTAACATACAATTAGATAATCTAAGTCCAACCTCTGAAGCACAATTTCTTCAAAAATGCAGAACAGACCATAGGAAACACCCAGGTAGGATTTCTTACAAATCCTCTGCAGACAGAAAGGCAGACAGCAGAGAGAATGTATTGCAAAACCTGCAAACATAAAGCATGCCAGTACCGTTCCTTAATCTTTTTTAGTCACATATTTTTACCCTTTCATTTAAGGATTTTGACAGAAGTATAAACATACCTGCACAATACGAAGGAAAAGAAGAACATACATTGTTGTTCCCAATGGAGAAAGAGGATATCACATGACGACAGTGAACTTCAAGGGAAAAGGTTGTCAGCATGCTGGTATAAGTGAATACACCAGTGGGTAATTAAAATAGGACCAGCCCCCTCTGTAACTACTGGAGTGTAACATAGGCTTTGATTTATTTAAAGCGAGTAAACACATCTCATCTCATAATGCTGTATGATGCTAGATCAGCCTCAATAGCTAGAGTTCAAATAAATACTAGAGTGGCACCTGCCAATGGTTAAAGGATCTGTATTGAATGTCTTTTTCAAAAAATAATAAATCAGATGCTAAAATTAGCTTCAAGCAGAAACTTGGCCTACAAGTTCTTATGAACATGTAATGAAATAGCATCATGATATGTAATGTGCAGCATTTTAAAGACACATCAAGAGCATGTATGTATCACAGATAGCAAGAACAGCACCATAATACCTCATGCATATTAGCTGTAAATCACTGACAGCATATTTCTGAGCCACTATACCGTAGTACATGCTGTCCTAGTGTGTTAACAATATTATGTAAAGCCTGGTGTGATGGAGTGCACAAACTCCACACTGGGCGGGAAAGGGTTAAAGGACACTACTGGGCCCAGGTAGCCCCTCCCCCCTGCAGAACATGCTCAGAGGTGAAAGTAAGCTGGTACGGTCCGGTACGGAGTACCAGCAAGAGCCAGTACACCGTGCCGGACCGCACCGGCTTCTGCGGCGGGGATTTAAAGGGCTCTGGGCTCCCCGCAGCGGCAGGAGCTCCGGGCTCTTTAAATCCCAGCCCCAGCCCGGCAGCCGGGCTCGGGCGGGGATTCAAAAGGCCCGGAACGGCTGCGGGGAGCCCCGAGCCCTTTAAATCCCCCCCCGCCCCCCGCAGCTCCAGCTGCTGGAGCTGCGGGGGGGATTTAAAGGGCCCGGAGCTCCGCGGCGGCCGGAGCCCCGGGCCCTTTAATTTGCCCCTGAGCCCCGGGGGCTCCCAGACACCTCTGCCGCTGGGAGCCCAAGGTTGATTTAAAGGCCCTGGGCTCCCAGCCACAGCCCCGGGGCCTTTAAATCTTGAGAGGCCCCACCTCTTCTGGTTGAGGCCACGCCTCTTCCGGATGAGGCCACGCCCCCCTCAAGACTCCAGCAGTACCGGTAAGTCCTGTAAGTTACTTTCACCCCTGAACATGCTGCAACTGGAGACAGGGTTGAAAATGGAGCAACCCAGCACAGAAAGGGGAGTCTGAGGAGGTGTGCAGACCTAGCGTGAAGGCTCCTGACATAGGGGCTGGAGAAGCCTTCCTGAAGGGACAGGACTGTATGCTGAGCCCAGTTAGGGCTCACGGTTTGGTTTCTTTTTCGTTTTCTTTTTTTCCCTTATCTGAGACCAGAAGCTGAAGAAGGAAAGCAGCAGTAGGAAGTGACTAGGGAGGGTAGCTCAGAGGGCCCCTTTGGAGGCCAAACACTGCTGACCCTCTTATGGCACTGGGCCACAGTCCATTGGAGGGGGCAGGCCTGGGCTCCCTTACTACAGCTCCGAAGGCTGAATGCATTAACCACTAGGCCATCCAGCCCATCAAGGACCCAATTATACCTGGCCTGACAAAATAATGGTCTAAGAACATTTAATGTCTGTTTCCCTTCCCTGCACACTTTTTTATTAAAAACACCCCTACTATTAAAACAGGAGATTAAACACAAAAGTGATATTAAAATTTTCCCACAACTGTGCGTAGGTGATGAAAATATCTCAGGGCAGTTTGATCTTATGTATCATTTGTGTTACAACATCTAGTCACAATGGAAGAATTCAGCATGGAAAGTCAGCCTTTCACTCGAAAATTACTCTGCTTTTGTTGCTTAAAAAGGGACTCAGTCTCT